CACAGCCCTTCTGGGATGCACTCCAATTTATTGCATGCTGCCATGAAAACTTCCTGTAAAAACAAACATAAATGATATGGGTAAAAAATATTGCAGAAATCACATAAAAGAAATGATTTATGTGACTTATTACCAGCCCTAACTACCAGTAAGATGTTAGGTATAAGATTCCCAGAGATGATTTTGTTGTTTCTCAGAACTGCCACACCAGATCAGTAATTTGCAAGTAAACGACATTCAGTACAAGATTTTTCAATTATGTATAGTCAGTCTTATGTTTAAGATCTTGTCAGTCTCTCCAATGTAAGAGGCTACAAAACCAGAGCACCTCATCTTATTGACTGCTCCTTGCCTTTTTTTGGTTCATCCACGTCTTTTACTTTAGTTTGAACATTACAAAGCATAGCAATCAGTATCTAACATTGTGGTGGAATTTTTTTAAACCATTAAGGATAAACTAATCGCAAGTCTCATTCATTATGAGATTGACTGAAATCAGGTGCCATGAGTCCAGACCTCTGGAAGGCACCTTCAGCTAAAATTACCAAGTTGTACAGCTTTCCTATTCCAGTAGGCAGTCCTTCAAAGTTGATATTGTTTCCTATTACAAAAAGCAACACCTGAGTTTTTATGACACATTTTGATCAGCTTATAAACTAACCAACAACAAAAACCAAAGATAGAAAGATGTCAAATTTCCTTAATATATAATTTGTCTACAAAGCTAACCTTCATCATTATCATAAAACCTTCTTTGATTTGCAGAAAGTACTATTGCTGATGATGCTTACCATTGATAAAAAATCGCTTGAGGGCCACCAGTTTGCAAAGTGCAGCCTGAAAGAAACAGAGCAAAAGAATTACTTTCAATTGATGGAAAATCCAAAAAGTATATAATATTACATATGTACATACAGAAAGTGCTTACTAGCATTTTTTTTTGTGTTTTATATAGAAATTTCTCTGATCATTGGCAGTATGGAGAAAGATTCTAAATAACTTTAATTTACCTTAAATTATCTATTGGATCAAATGCCCTTGGTGCTCAATAGATTTTTGGACCTTGAGAGTTTGAGCTGTTGAAATTTCATTTTGGTTACGAATTTGTAGAAAAGCAAGGAATTTCATTGAATTTCGTCAACAGGTGCTTGCATCGCTTTTGCACAATACTGTATTTGAGGTGGGAGCTTATTTAAGAGTGGATGGTTCTTACTGGAATTCCTGTAAGTTGATTCCTTGATAAGTTCAATGTCTCTACTTGTGTCCATGTATCTGTAAGACAATACCACATGGGTGAACAAGAACTAAACAATACAGTGGTGCAAATCACTTGAAAGTCTGTTCTGAACCTTTTTCACACAAAAACATTTTTACCCATGAGTGTAGACACTTCAGTGATCTGGTTGTGTGACAAATTTACTCTTTTCAGGCTGGCAATCAGGTACACTGGCTCAGGAACTGCAAAAGTGACAAAAAGCTAAATAAGATTTAAAACATGCATATTGTGATATTGTCAAAGAAATTGCTACATGTTAAGAAGACTGTCAAGTGAACAGCACTTCCTCTTGCATTTATAATCAAGGGAATATTCTGTGTAAAAGAAAAATGTAACATCATCTAATTATTAATGGTAATCAATCCTCAAACATGTTCCTGAACAATGAGTTTGCATTAATTCAATCAGTTTCTCACCTCTTGGTAGATCATTAAATGATAGATCCAGATCTGAAGTAAGAAGAGTGAGGAGTTTATTTTGAGATCTCAACACTAAACTTACTTTAACCTCCTTGCAAATAAAGCCAAAATTAAATATAGCATCAACCTCAGATGTTTAAAGTGCAGCAAATTATGACAACAAAGAGCAATTTTTTTCAATGTTTCACTACTCAGTACCTGTTAGATTGACAAGGCCCTCCAATTTGTTTGGCATGTTTGTTATTGTTCTCTGTA